TTTACGGAAAAAAATATCAATCTATTAGTTACACAAGTACGTAAATTCATTGAGAGAAAAACTAATATAATTCTCAATAAATTGCCCTTCAAATGTTTAGTCTCATGTCATTATTTAGTATGCATTACATGCAAAGCACATACTACATACTAGTAAACACAAAACAAAAATTACACAAGCATATATTCCTCCCCACCGTGCATGGTTTTGAACTATGAGAAAATAATTTGAAGCTCTTTTCTCAGCCTATTAGCATTCTAACAGTTTTATTTTAAAAAAAAGGTATAACCTAATGCCACATGTGATGGATCTAAAAGTTAGAACCAGGAACTTTGAGCAAAATTCAAGATAAAAAATATACTACTTAATTCAAAAATAAAATCCTAAAGCCATTAATCACTAATTTGAATAAAAAGGCTAATTACGGGCCAATCATATCTCTAATTCTTGCAATGGAGTTCAAGCATAAAGATAATCACTTTTCATCCCATTTATTTCAGTACTTGAGTATCCTTCTAATTTCAATTTCAGATGTGAGCATAGTACCATTACAATGAATTGACTTTCTAGTTCATATCAAGGATACATTTTTGCAGGCTCATTTACTTAAGGTTGAGCAAGCATTAAATTTTAATCAACTTGAGTATTGCTTTGCATTGTTTCTTCCTCCTCCTTCCTTCCACTTCCAATACTATATTTACCAGTAGTTCCAGCATAGAGCATGGAAGCAACTTTCTATCAACTATTTACAGAGCGCTATAATTCGACAAAGTTAAATACAGCACTAAGAAAGTGCCCTCCCTCTTCACCACACTGTGCTGTCCAGTACTCATACAGTTTAAGCCGGCTTAGTGACTGACGATGGTGAAGATAAAGGATTACATATATTGCTTAGATGAGTGCAGTCTAAAAGGGTTAAATGACCCTTTCTTTCCAAATATGATGTAAAACACGGCAACGATCATTCTCAGAACAGTTATATGAACACCTGAAGTTCAGTAAAAAGTGTATACCCATAAAGTCAATTCAACTTAATAGGATCCATAACATAGTGGTCACTGTATTCAGCAGATTGGAACGAATAATACAGATAAGAGAAGACCTCTGTCATAATGGGAGCGATTTCTTTCTCCATGACCTCTCGAACTCTTTTCCTCAAAGCCTTCTCCTCAGAGCTTAACAGATCATCAAGTTGATAGTAGTCTGATACTGCAAAAGGAACATTTGGAGTATTATAATCGATGTGCAATTCTTTTGGCTTAAACCCATTAAAAAGGAACCTACTTACTAGCATCCAAATTACTGAAGTCACTGCTAAACACACTGCAAGACTGCAAGGGATGCAAGAAAAACTCTGAACATGTACAGTGGCAGAGCCAGGAATTATGCGAAGGGGGTTCAAAAATAATAAAACGTGATAGCAATGTATATGCCGTATAAATTTTTTTGCGCAATTGGTTGGCATCCAAATGTCATTATATAACAAGAGTTTCCGAATCATATCTAAAATTAGAATATAGTGTTTACAATAATGTTCCTCTTGTATTTATTTTCTGAAACTGTTTCAATACATCTCCCTTATCAATGGTACAAAATGTATCTTTTTCGATATAAGGTATCAAACAATCATTCATATACTCATGTTTCATTCAGTTTTGAAGGTCATTCTTTATAATCTTCATTGCTGAAAATGCTCTTCAACACTTGTCATTGTGACAATCAACGTTGTCAACTTGATCGACTTGGACAACAAATGACATAAAAGTATTTAGTTTTGGCTAGATATTAGAAAACGCCCCTTAACTTGGGAAATTTGTCAGAAAACCTCCCATAACTTTAAAAATATCAGAAAACCCGCTTAAGTTGGGGGTTATTGGAAAACCCTTTTTAAGTTTATGACTTCATCAGAAAACTCTCCAACAGGCTGAATATGAGAAAACCTCCATTTTTTTATGGGCGAGTAAAATTGCGCAGGGGAATATTTCTGCCAGTGAAAATTCCCGTCAACACTGTTAGGGGGTTTTTCTGATAAAATCTTAGACTTAAAAGGGAGCTTTTGGGTAACCCTTAACTTAAGGGGATTCTCTGATACTTTGAAAACTATGGGAGGTCATCTGATAATTGTCCAAAGTTAAGGGGTATTTCCGATATTTAGCATTCATTTTCCTTTCAACCAGCTTCTAATAGCAAGTTTATCTACCTCTTCAATTTCAGAAAAATCATGATGAGTAGCTACATTACTGAACCCATCCTTCATTAAAAAATGCTTCTTTTCCCACATATCATTAACAAATACGTTCTCGACTCAACTAAGCTTCATACTCTATTCTCAAAATAAAATTATGATTGTCCTGAATCAAGTTATGAGCAATTACAGAAGCATACCCAGCTGAGGGAAAACTGAAGCCGGCGTCGCCTGCGGGAAAGCAGCAGAGATATCCAACGCTGGCAATCCAACATCCGAACTCATGCTCTCCTTTGAGTGCTCACCTGTTAATCATTTAATCCAAAAAAAAAGATAATTTCTATATTTGGGCAGAAATCGATGGATCCCAACCAATTTTTTTCTGTTAATAGGAACTATAAACAGAAAAATGAAGGAAAAACTGAGGTCAACGTGGGGAAAGTTGTTACCTTGATTTCTTGACAGAGGAGCCATAGCTGAGAGATTCTTACTACAGTGTTTGAAATCGAGACTAATAAGTTCTAATTAAATTGAAGATGAGGGAGTTTGACTGTTCGATTTTTAAAAAAAACTTTTAAGATTTTTTTTATTTTTTATTTTATTGCGGCCCTGCCATAGTTGAATTATTCATTGCATGTGAGGCCTTTGATGAAAGACTTGGGTGCTGTTTCCTTTGTCGCGATGATGTTAGTGCGGATTAACTGACACTCGCGGGCCCCATAACGATTTCTTGTCGGATTCAATTTTCCACACCAAAATTTCTCGTTTGTTTCTTCGATTCGAGTGCGTGGAGATCGAGACAAGATGGGATTACACGTCGGACAAATCCCCATGTCAAAAATCTTCCGCGAGGGCCTGTTTGTTCCTTTCTCGGGAAACGACTGATTGTCACCGTAGCTAGGGGTGTGTTAGTTTGGGGGTGGATTCCAACCTCCGTCCGGCGAGGAGCTCCGACGAGCTCGAGGATGACGCAGGCGAGCGTGGCGAAGTCGACGACGAACGCGACCCTCGGTTTTTGGCGAACGCGACCCTCGGCTTTGGCGAACGCGACCCTCGGCGTTTTGGCGGCTCGACCCTCGCGTCCAAGCTCCGACCCTCGCGTCGGGCTTATCCGCTGGCGACAGGCTGTCGCCAGCCCATCGTATCCGCCTATATAAACCCCTTTGGCCCTAGGGTTTCGCTGCTGAGCTTCCCCCTTCTTCCGATTTTTCTTCTGGCGGCGGACAGCCCTAAAATCGCAGAAGCGATTTTCATTAATCTCCAGCTCTCAATTGTTTGAGGGGGGATTAAGAAGAGATAAAGAAAAGGGATTAAGGAGAGAGAGGAATTGAAACGGGTTTTATATTGTGGGGTTATTCATTTATTCTCAAGTGAGAATTGAAAGGGTTTATTCCCTTTAATTATTAACACTGTAGCTACAGTGTTCATTTGAGAAATCTCAGTTTGGGATTTGCTCTTCAATTGTAATTTATTGTTTGATTAATAAGAAATTGACTGTGTGGCTCCCGAGGACGTAGGCAGTTGCCGAACCTCGTTAAAACTTGGTGTACTTTTTCTATTCTGCGTTTCTGTTGCATTAGGGATTTAGGCGTTAAATTTCCCAACAGGGTGGGCATGGTAGCTCAGACCTGTGATCAGGCCCATCAGGTTTGAGGTTGAGCCGAGCTTGATCCTGATCCAGCCGGATCAGAGTGGGTCGGGCCTACTTTTTTGATCAAAATCTAGGAGTGAACAGAACACAGCCCGGCCCATGACCCACCTAGGCACGAACCAGTTCTGACCTGGCGGGCCAATGAGTTTTTCGTCCAACTTTGTTCTTATTTTTACATTTTTAATTATATTAAACTTGTATTTATAATTATAAATTTATTTCTACTTTATTTTTTAGTAATTTAAAGTTGTATTGAACTATTTCTAAAATTTGTGTTAAAATTTTTAATCCTTCCAAGTAGACATCATCGAGCTTAAAGATCGTTGTTTTGTTTCTCAATAGGCCAAAGACCCACGAGCAAAAGGCATGTGGTCTTTTGGCTTTGTTGGTAGGTAGCTGCAAATCCAAAGGGTTAAAGGAACAACTAGCCTAACCAGAAAAATATATCATGGACCGGAGGCGAGGTGGGTTAGGTCAGGCGTGGGCCAGGCTAGCATGGGCCTAGCGTAGGTCGGGTCTACTTCTTTGATCTGGGGTCTGGGACTGGACCTAGTCCGGCCGTTACCCAGGTATATCATGGGCCGAGTCGGACACTGCCCACTATGGTCGGGCCGAATCGTGACTCATGGGTCAGCCCGCGGGTCGACCCGACCCACGCCCAACCCTAACCATAGCTCAGAGTTCAGTCATCCAACTGGACTTGACAGGTACAACAACAATCAAGCTAAAATGGAAGAAGATGGAGGGAATTGCATAGAGACTGTCAGTTGGGTTCTTTTACTACTGCATCAGTCGGTCTTCCATTTGCACGACCAAACATGGTAAATATGTGAAAGCTACTATAGACTAGCAGCTCCATCAACTTTCACGCGAAAACTGCCCTCAATCAAACGAATTGAGATCCTCTACTAAGACATAGTACCTCCTAATATCTCCTAATGCATCTCCATCTTTCTTTATCAACAATGAGAAATGTGAGCTCCCCGAACAACTAAAGAATTGTACTCACCCGTCCCTCGCGGCAGTGCCAATCCCCACAACCCAAAAAAGAAAAAAAAAGCCCACAGAACTCAAAAAAATATTAAAAAAAATGTACACGCTTCGAAAAGAAAGTTAAAAAAAACTACTCGAAAATTATTACTATCATATTTCAAGTACAAGAGCAATTATCAGTGGGATCCGCTAATCTCTTTACAATCTCACGATTACCTTTTCAAACAAACGAGAATTGCCTTAATCTTTATCCAAACCTAGCTTTCTAGCACACTATCTCACAAACCCAAACAGAAAATTAAAATCTTGAAATTTATGGGTTTAAGTGGATTTATGACATCGTCATAACTCCAAATTACTAATCTAATAGCCAAGCAGCCCCTTAATTGCACTTCAATTACCCAACAGTTTCCTCCAACTTTGCACTTAGGGTTAATTACAGAAAGCCCCTATGAACTTTTGGGGAGCTGCAGTAAACTCCCATAAACTATTTTTATTACACTAACCCCTTGACTAGGAGTGTTGCAAATAATCTCCATAAATTATTTTATTTCACTAAAGTTTATATGAAAATTTATCATTTAATCTCCAAATTAGCACCATTGATGCTAGCATCTCATGAGAAAAATAAGATGAAAATAATTCCTTAGCTCCAAAAGATTAATTAATTTTCCTTTTCCATAAAAGGATACTTTTTTGGACTGAGAATAAATTTTTCGTGACTAATAATTCATGGGATTATATACAATAACTCTTAAAGTTCAAGGGAGATTTAGTGTAATAAAAAAAGCTAATGAAAGTTTTACATGGTGGGGTTTTCTGTAATTAACCCTTGCACTTATATACCCTCGATTATTTTTGGAAGCACTTATATACCCGGAAGTTTTTAAGTTTTGCACTTTATCACCCTTGTTTATGCGACCATGAGAATTTCGCCTTCTTGCTTCACAACTAGCTTGCACGTACAAAGTGAAATTTTGCAGTTATATATCAGTGCTAGCTGGGTAGATTTAAAATGTAATTATGATAATTTTAAAGGAAGATTCGTGCAGGCTGAATCGCCACAAGTTCGTACGTATAAAAACGAAAATTTGCACTTAAATAACAGGGTTGGTAAAATCGTAATTGACTACTCCATTTCATCAATGTGGGACTAAATTAATCCTAGGCGTTCTTGCTTGCAGGAGGCATACCCATCACCAATTATTTACAATTTGCAATTAGTTTTCCTATAATGGAGAGGTGACGAATGTGGTCATCATTTCATTGCAGTGATAATAGTAATAATTGTACACAAGAGCTATATTATTCCACAAGAGCTATATTATTCTTACACACGCACACACACACACAAAAAAAAAAGAATTATAGTAAATTGCAAAAAGAAATTATTGGTTGCTGTGAACACCACTTTTCTGTGTCTGGGGTACAAGAGCAAAACAAGTCTTGCAGTACAACTATCATTTCCCTTCATTGAAAATTACAAAGTTTTCTGCCTGGTGCAAGCATTCAAATCCCTGTTTTCTCCGGTGAGGCTCTACAAAGTGACGCATTCTTATACGACTTCATAAAGTGCAGCATTCAAATCCTTCGTTGTGTACTTCTACAGAGCATATATAATAAGCAGAGTTAATGTTACAACAACTTGAAGCAGAACATGATCTGCCATTTTTAATTTTATTCCGACTTTTATCCCATTGTCACCGTTGTCTGTAAACTTCAACACCATTGATTACAATGGAATCAAGCCAAGTATGATCCAGGGTAATTGTCGAGACCACCCGATGGATTACAGTCGACTTGCTTTACTGCGCACAGCAGGTTTGAAGCTAGCGATCCCGGTGATTTCTCTTGCAGTCACCAAACTATTGATCTCATAAGTTCCCTCGAATGTATATATTGGCTCCAAATCGCAGAAAGCCTGCAATTGCAGTAGAGTTAGAAGAATACATTTCATTTACTCAGTCATATGGAGATGGGTGAGAAGAAAACTAAAGGTTGATTGCGAACTATGCGATTTATCTTTTTCATCGATGATGAGAATATGGATGACCAAGATCACCATTACAGTCTAAAATAAAACGTAGATTATTTACAACTTTTCTGATATGTGGCGTAATTAGTTTTTTTAAGTCCCTGTTATTCAGCAAAGTAAACCTTTGATCTCCCATCTCATAGTATGCAACAACAACAACAACAACAACAAAGTGAAGAAGAGGGTTTTGAAGCGAGGAAAAGAAAATAAGAGATGAAATGAGTAGGAGCCACATTAGACTTCATCTCTGTCACAACCTAGCTAAATCGAGAAACCAAAGATAAATGGTTGAAGTAATGCCCATTTCCCTCAGCATCACCCAAAAAGGGACTTAACGCCTTGGTCGTTTTCTACAAACTAGAATTACAATACATATGCTGTAATAAGCTGTTCTGGAGAAAACAACTCATGTTTAAATGCTAACTAAGCCTCAGTGCCTCACTACATAAAATTAAGCTCATCAATCATGAAATATATTGGCAAAAAAAATCAGGCACCTTGTTGAAAAGCTTTAGAGGAATAAGTAGAGAGATGTAGATCTGATTTACTATTCGGGCAGTGGAACAAAACTCTAGTCCTTTGAAAATCAAATGTGTAGGTCCGACAATTTTCATTTAATACGAGTACATACAGGGATTTAGGATCAGTTTTTTGCAGAAGGGAATCCCCATAAAATGGAATGGTAATAGTGAGGTTCTAGAAGAAAAGCTTCCTAATGGTTCATGGGAATTAGCTTAGGTTCTAAATAAAAGAACAGACAAATATTATTCAATTTCATCAATTTACTAGCTAAGGGAGGAAATTTTGAATATAATGGTGGTCTCAGGACCTAACATGTGACGGTTAATGATCTGATGATGACATATTAAAAAACCCACAGTTTGTCATCTTCTATTACCAAATAGTAGGTCCATTATCAGACAAAGGAGATATGCCTCATGGATGCAGAAAATATCACCCACCGGAAATATGACCAAAAATAAAAATAACATGACCATTCTGAAGTATTATCTGGTTGTAATACTACACTAGATTTTCAGGAGAATAGAATTGCCCAATTTAGATTCTTCTTAAAGCACCTGATTGTATACAGATGTACTACGTTAAGCATATAGGAGGGAACGTCTAATTGCATACAGATATATACTATGTTAAGCATAATGGATGAAACAAAGAGAGATGGGCACATTTGAAAATGGCTCATTAATCCAGTCCAAAAGTTGTTGGAGAAGGCACAAGGATACCACATATTTGCAGTATGGAGTTTTATATTATACATGCTATTCTATGTTTAGAAGCTTTTTTACAACACTACAAAGCTTATTGTCAACTGAAAACAATAAGGCAAACTGGACCTTAATTCATCGTACTTATAAAATAAAATAGAAAACTGTGTTAGCTCTTTGCCTGAAGGATTATATGCATTTACTAAGGAGATGCATTAAACTCATAAATGTAAATAGGAAAACAGAATAACTGAAGCCTTAACAATAAAAAAGCAGGTTTGATTATGGAAGTCCAGGGTCAAATCCTGGTATGGCCTTTATTTTAGAAGGAAAAAAGAGTAGAACATGAGTCATTGAATAATTATGACAGAAAGAGGACAAGAGTTCAAACCTTTGCCACTAAAAAGTCTGACAATATTCCGTTTCCACCCATTAATTCTCTACCAAGAGCAACTGTTTCCCTTGCTCGTAACGATATCCAGGCCTGGAAAGTAAAAGTTGTGTTTTAGACAAGGATATTTGCAGCAGTTCGGTAATGCAAAAAGTTACATACTTACCTTTCCCAAGCTAGCATGACCAGCAGTCATTTTTCCAGATTCATACAACTTGCACAATCGCCAACCAACAAGAAACATTGCTTGAACATTGCCAAGCATACGAACAAGTTTTTCTTGGTTAATCTGGAATGAAGCTAATGGAGCACCAAATTGCTTTCTCTCCTTTAAATACCTTATGAATTTGGATGATGTATGATTTTCATGGTTTAATTACAGTGGGGGAAACTTAAACAGGAAATGATATTGAAAGATAAAGTTACCGGTGGCAAATGTCAAATACCCCCATTACAATACCAATGGGTTGCCACGCAACCATAACACGTGAGACAGCAAGCACCTGATTTAGGCAACCATCAGTAAGCTATTTCTAACAACAAAATTCAAACATTTGAAATCATAATGCGATCATGTGGAATAAGTAATTGTGCTGAAGGAACACGGTAAGAACACGCATTCCAGGTAAATTATAAGTCAGACATCGTGAATTTTAAGCAAAGTCATGATCATTATTAATTGCACAAGTGATTGAATGGAAAGAAAAAGTGAAGCAATTAAGATCACCAACTATCAAGTCATTTAAGAAAATGTCAGCAATATGGCTATTGATTAAATACTAGACAGTAACTTGTGGATATAGCAACATCGACTCCTTGCAAGTGGCTCAAGATATGAATAGCGAATTATTGTCAAAATCACATGCATTGAAAGTTGTCAGTAGAGAATACAGCTTCAGAGTTCGAGTTGAAGCAGAGATCCAAAAAGGCTTGGCAGTGTCCTATATATTTGATTCCCATATTAAGATGTTTAATTCTATTTTTCTGTCATTCTTCTTTCATCACCTAATCCTAAAAGATTGGTGAAGACATTGTTGTTGTTATAGCTACTCCTTAAAAATACATCTGTTTTCTTGCGTCCTACTGATGCTTTTTTCTCTTCTATACTGTGTAGTCATTAGCTTCATAATCAGCGCCATTTATGGTATTTGAAATATTTCAGAATTTGGTATGCAGTTGTGAATCAGGCAATCACTTTTTTACATCTCTAATAATGGACCGAAAGGGAGAAATGACAGGATAAGGACACATCATAATCAGCGCCATTTATTTTGATAGGAAACAAAGGATAGAGACATGGACAAGAATGCAATTTTTTCAGGAAAATACAATATTTGCCCTCTCTGTTTTAACAGAATAACTAGGTGCAATAAGATTAGCATCTCAATAAATTAATTACTTTGTACAACAAAAATTGGAAATGAGCATTAAATCCGATGGGGAAAATTGTAATTAAGTAAATATCAATATTAGTTATTAGTTATAAAAGCAAACGCATAAATGTGCCATGATACCTTGCTCGTATCTTGGAACGAATTGACACCAGGAAGCCTGTCCTCATCATGGACAAACACTTTGTTTATGAGAATATCCCCATTCTGAACAATTCTCAAACCAATTTTGTTCTCAATCTTTGTTGCCTTCAAACCAGGGGTACCCTTCTTTACAATGAATCTGAAAGAAACAGAAAATGAATCTAAAAACAATGCCATCAATTTGGCAGATAACGTGTTTGCAATCAATTTGGCAGATATCAGATGTCATGTGTTGAAAATCAGAGAGGACTATTTATTATTGATTGATTGCAAGAGAAGCCTAAGGCTAAGAGGCTATTTATTTTTAGGACGAGTTTTTTTTATTATTACTGCATTAATATTAAGTTAAAAGGATTTACACTGGACAAAAGATATTTGCACATTGTAATCAACACAGAACATCATTTAATTTAAATGTTCACCAGCAGTTTCATTGACAAGAAGTTACAAAACTAAGCAAAAATATTGTAAGCACAGAGAGCTTAAGCTTTCATATGATTTACCCATTTATCTGGTTTGTACTTGTGTTGCGAGCAAAAATTATCAGTACATCAGCAAAAGTGCTGTTTCCTATCCAACGTTTTTGGCCGTCTAACAACCAACCTCCAGCTACCTGTTACACCAGCAGAATTAACGTAATGAATAACTTCAATCCTTTAACAGGTAAGAACAATATAAGAAAAGGCAAACTGCAAATAATTGTTAAGAAGAGTGTGATAAGTTATCGGCATAGGTCAATAAGATGAAAGAATAGAACCTTTGTTGCAGTGGTCCTCAAAGAACTGGCATCACTTCCATAATCCGGTTCAGTTAAAGCCTAAGGAATATATAACTTATCAATAAGATCCAATGTGCGGTTATAACCTTCTATGTGAAATGTACACCAATTACCTACCCAACAAGCAACTGTATGTAGTTCAGCTAATGACGGCAAGTACTTCTGTTTTTGTTCCTCAGATCCACATAATGCTATTTTTGACAAAAAAGGGCAATGCAGTGACATAAGTAAAATGTCCAAAAAAATTATCAAACAACTGTCAGTAATTAGCACACTGCCATGGATTTTTGAGAAATTCAACTGGAAACTGTACCTATTGTAAGCATTGCCAAAGAAGAGTGCACCAAAATAAATGTAGAGCAGCTTGCATCAACCCTGGCCATTTCAGCAGTAGCAATAGCACTTCCAGTAATAGAGAGGCCTGGACACCCATAACCCTGCAAACAACATCTGTTAGTGCATAGTGTCCGCATCTTCAAGCTTCAAACTATCAAGATCATGCAATGGTGGTACCTTTATTGTCCCACCAGCAACATGGAGGCTAGCAAGCTTAGGAATGGCGTGAAAAGGGAACTCTGCCTTCTCCCAGTACTGAGGAAATAAAAGCATCAGAAACCAATTTTAACTAATAGGGGACAAGTGATGTTAACAAATTAGGAATGACATGAGAAGGAAACCATCCCTCCTCTTACAAGGACAAAATACTAGTTAATGCACTAAACTAAACTCAACAATAAAAATATTTTACAATTCAAGATAAAGGATACAAAATTAGCAAGCTTGCACACTTAACAGACAATGTCAAATCTTGTCAAATATTGTTTGCCTGTAAATGTTGTATGCTAGTAAGGTAAATTACACTTAATACCCCCTCTATCAATGCCCATCCCCAAACACATTCTGCCCCATGATTTTGAGCTATGAGGCAATAATTTCCAGCCCTTTTCTGAACACATTAAGATATTATTGGTACACACCAAACGTGAGAGATCAAAAAATTAAAATCTCGAACTTTAAGATGAATTCGATATCAGAAATTTCAAACCAACAAAGATTTACTATTTAATTCAAACATAAAATCCTTAAGTCATTAATCAATAAATTAGAATAAGAAGGCTAATTACTGACCAAACGTGTCCTAATTCTTGCAACGAATCTTAAGCTTAAACACAATCACTTTTGTCCAACTTATTCAGTATTTGAGCATTCTTCTAGTCTGAACTTCAGATTTGAGCATAATACCATTACAATAAATTGAATTGCCACTTTACTTGAGGTTGAGCATATATTCCATTTTAACCAACTTGAAGTTTTTCTACATTATTTCTTCCTCTCTCCCTCCTTCCGCATACATAACTACTATATATTGACCAGTAGTTATAGTGTACAACATGGCAGCAACTTTGGCATATTGTGAAAATAAAATATTACAAATGCTGCTTAGGTGAGAGCTATATAAATAGGTTAAATGACCTTTTCTTTCCAAATTACTACAACACTTATTCTCAAAAACAATTATACGAACACTTGAGATTCAGTAATAAAAATAAAAGTGTACCCATAAAGGCAATTCAACTTAACAGTATCCATATATAAAATAGTCTTCGTTGTGTCAATAAATCGGAATTAACAATGCAGGCAAGAAAAAACCTCTGTCATGATAGGAGCAATTTCTTTCTCCATGACCTCCCGAATTCTTTTGCGCAAAGCCTTCTCCTCAGAACTTAAAAGATCACCAAATTGATAGTAGTCTGACACTGCAAAAGGAACATTGAGTACATTATTGTCAATGTGCAATTCTTTTGGTTTAAAACCATTAAAATGAAGCTAAATATTTGTCATTGCCATTAGACCTCACTGCTGAATAGATGCAAGGGATGCACGAAAGACTCTGAACATGTGTATACTTCACGATCTAAAAAACAATTAGTTTCCTACATTATGTACTTATTCAAAGTTGAGTCAACAGTGTCGACAAAAAAACATCACATCAACGAAGCTGTGCAGCGAGATTAGACATGCAACCAGGGTCAGGATTGCAGTGATGAGGCAGGTATGCAGTGATCAGGATGGCAGTGAGTTCGTGGTAACAGTGACATCATGGTTGGACGAGGGTCAAGATGCGGCAAAGTCGCGGAGGTGGAAGAGTTCGGATTGGATAGAGCATAGGATTGTGGCTAGAATTTCAATTCTTTTTCTTGAGAGTTTATCTATTTGGTATTAGGAATTAGAAATTGGTGACTCTAGTACCATAATTGAAGAGAAGAGAATGAACAGCTTCACTGTTGTACTTTATTAGTAGTAATGGAATTGTAATATATTTTATCTAACATTTCCTATTTTTCAGAATCAAGCTAAGTTGAGTTAATCTCAAAGTAAACCAGCTAAATTCCAACCCCATTAGATTCAGCATATCACACCCTATTGCCAATGCCTGAAGAACATAACTCACTAGAGAATGCTCCTCACCTCACCGATTCAAAAGTAAAACATGCACAGATAAAAAAGGAAGCGAGAATGAAAGTAATACCGATGTATTACTGCTGAAAGATGGAAGGAAGAATGAAAGATCAGTTGTTTGGGTTGAAAGCATATAGATATACAAGAGTCAAGACCAAATCTTAAGGTATAACCAAAGTCATGCATAGCCTACACTTCACTGCACCAGGTTGCACTTTCTATCAAAACTTTTATACATATAACAAATTATACACCACATAACACCTAAGACGGAGCATTTTGCTACTCCATATGCACTATTCTCTAATAGCAACTTTGACAACCCATAGCAAAGAGATTGTTAGACAAGTGCTAGATCTACTACTATGATCTCAAACGGAAAAAGAAAATCTCAAATTAGTGTACCAGCATCCATTAATAAAGCAAACTCCATGGGATTTTCAGTCCGTGATACTAAATTGTTAATTCCCAGAAGTTCGAGCAAGTTCAGAGAGTTTGTCGGGTTAATTGGATCACCGGTCACTGTATTTATATTATAATTAGATGTTCCTGCATATGTTTTAATTGCTAGGATGACCGGTCATGGACTAAATACTAATTAGATCACTAGTCACTTCTAACAATTTTCATCAACTTAGAGTTGTATATTGTCATTTATGTTTAAGCAGTTCAGCTTACTCAACTATCACACCAGTTTATATTTTCAAGAAAAAAAAATTCAAATGTAATAAAATACCTAATACAATATACAAATTGCCCGCTATGTCAGAAATTTCATTTCCATTATTGATTAAGATATTACACATAGGCATAAATCTGTTAATCTTAAATGATCAAAAAAAATTATGTCATATCAGTGAAAATACATTATGTTAATTACCAAAAAACATCAGAAGTAATTAATATTTAATTCCACGACCAGTCATCCAAGCAATTAACGTCCAATTATGAGATAAATACAGTGATCAGAGATCCAATTAACCGCTCTAGCCACATTCAATTTCCATGTAAGAGGCCGTGAACCAAAACAACCCCCAAACTTGGTGTGCTTCATTTGGTTAAACTTGAAACTTTATATTGTAATCTCAAGATAAACCAATGATTGTCCTAACTCTTTAAGTTATCAAAATTTACTTTTTTGCCCCCCTCAGAATCATACCCAGTGGAGGGAAAACTGAAGCTGGCGTTGCCTGTGGAAAAGCAGCAGAGAGATCCAACGCCGGCAATCCGACATGAGAACCCATACCCTCCTTTGATTGCTCACCTGTTAATCATTTAATCCCAAAAAAAAACAAAGGATAATTTCTAGGGTTAGTCAACCATCGCCATGAGATTGAATGAGACCTACTGATTGAGATCAAATTCGATCTGTTTACTATGAACTAAAAATTGAGAGAAAAATTGAGGCCAAAGGGGTAAATTATCACCTTGAGTTTTTGATGCAGGAGCCATGGCCGAGGGATTTCTAGAGAGAGAAAGTTGAGAGAGAGAGAGAGAGAGAGGGAGAGGCCAAATGAAGTGAGTAACGACTTTCGTGAAGGTGAGAGATGGGGCACGCAATTTGAGAAGATCGATGTCAGCAACAGCGCTTGAGTTGATGGGCTAAACCTTGATTAGTTTCCTCAACTGTTTGGATAAACTATAATAGCGAACAGCAGTTTCAGCCACTGGAGAGCTGACACGAAGACTCATTACCACCTTTCCTATGATACAAATCTAAAGACTTTAGATTGCCTCTTTTAGATTAGGGAAAAATGATTCCGGCCTTCAAAACCCAAGAAAACGTGCTTCCCCTCAAGACTTTGTCAACGGGTGTTTTGTCTCCAAAAATAAAGATTTTGTTCTCTGAGCCCCTAAAACACAAAACCCAAGAGATTAAAATATGTGAAGACCATAAAAATAAAGATTTTGTTCTCTGAGCCCCTAAAACACAAAACCCAAGAGATTAAAATATGTGAAGACCATAATACCCTTCTCTCCTGAGCCCCTAAAACACAAAACCCAAGAGATTAAAATATGTGAAGACCATAATACCCTTCTCTCTCTCTCTTTTTTATCATGATGTACTGAGATGATGATTGAAATGATTGATTGTGATTATTTTATTATTTTTGTTTTTTATTATTTTTATTGTTGATGAGGGGAACTAACTGTTTTGTATTGGGAGATTGCTAAAGTTACGGGTTAATTGTTAAGATTACGAGTTAATTGTTAAGGTTACGGGTCAATTGTTAAGGTTATGGATCCTCTCTCTCTCTCTTTATCATGATGTTACTGTGATGATGTTGAAATGATTGAAGGGGATTGTTATTTTATTATTTTCGTTGTTGATGAGGAAACTAATTGTTTTTGTTTGTATTGGGAGATTGTTAAGGTTACAGGTTTAATTGTTAAGGTTACAGGTTTGTTGTGAAGGTTACGAGTTTAATTGTTAAAGTTACAGGTTTAATTGTTAAGGTTATGGGTTTGTTGTTAAGGTTACGGGTCGGTTGTTATGATTACGGGTCAGTTGTTAAGGTTATGAAAGTACCCTAATGCCGCTAGGAAGGAACCCTAGAGGGGGGTGAATAGGGTTTATGCTAATCTAATTCGTTTTATGCCAATTAAAAACTAATTAACAAATATCCTAGCAAGTATGATATATGACAAGATATATATGCAAGGATATACAACTAATACAAGGGTGAAACAATATAGTGGACAATATAAACAAGCAATTGACGAAGGCGATATAAACAATAAGTACGAATATAAATGAACGCCAAAGCAATCACAAACAAAAGATATGTTCACGAGGTTCGGTCCGCCTGACCTACGTCCCCGCTCCTCACCTCGAGGAGATCTTCACTATCACAACCGGGTTTTCTACGCTCACCCGAACAACGTTTACGCCTCACAATACGGTTTTCTAGCTAACCGAAAACTTTACAATCACTCACAATGTAACTACACTAACTACCACCTCAAGTGTTGGTCTCTAGCTCGTGTCTCCCTCAAGTGTTAGGAATTATAACCTCTCTCTAGGCATTATCACCTACCCCACTCCTCTTGGGACAACCCGTCTCTCACCACACACTCCTCTTAGTGTACTAGTGTAATACAAAGTGTTCCTCACAATTAGGCTCACAATACAACAAATTTGTTCTCTACAATAGATGAGAACTCAATGTAGGCTCACTCTCTAAGTCACACAATCTCACAACCTAATTATACAATGTATGCAAATACAATAAGCTCAAAGGTTGTGTGTGTACAACTCAATATAAACACTAGCTTAATAAAATGATAATCAAACAATAAAATGTAAAGCTAGATTGAGTTTAGAAAACTTCTCCAATAAATGACAAGAGTGAGAGAGAGATGATTTGAAGCAAACACCAAAGGATGATCTCTTCTTCCTCTTGTGAAATTATCTTCACAAACCAAAATCTTAAACACTCTTTTAAACAAACACAAAACACCCTTAAACTTGTTTAAACAATTCTCTTAAAAACTTTTCTCTTGTTTGGTGGGAGAGGTAAATGCAATGGGGTATTTATAACAACCCAAGACATCAGCCAAAACCCCAAGGAAATGACCAAAAACCCACACAAAAACAGATCTGGAAAATAGCCGTTACTGTTCAACGGTCATATTTATAAGTCGACTTGCATTCGACTTAGTATAAGTCGACTTGAAAATTCACATGAGTCGACTTTCCAGATAAAAATAACACATAAAAATCAGCACATAAGTCGACTTGGAAAATGACATAAGTCGACTTGGTCTAAGTCGACTTAACAGTTCGAATAAGTCGACTTGGCAGAGAGTTTTTGCACATTCCAGAGCATTTCATAATTCGACTTGTCAACTCTGATAAGTCGACTTATAAACGTGCACAGGCACTGTACATGCTGAAAATCTGATTTTAAAAGTGCCTTTAAAAATAATAAATAAATTCCAAAAATTATAAAACTTTGGGAAATCATTGTAAACATGTAAATGAACATGTTACAAAAAGAATTTTTAGAATTGCACTTCCCAAAAGTGAAAACTCATTATTCTTCAAATATGTCCAAAAACATGAAAAGTAAACATACATGTTTTTTTGACATTTAACATAAACCATGTTTTGAAACTTTGTAAAATGAATTTATAGACTTGATGAAAAGTATAAACTATAGTTGTTAAGTCTATAAACCATATAAGCCAAAAACACAATATTTTTCCAAAAGCAATAGAATATGAAACATATAAAAGTATATATGAAGATATATATTATTTCATATCCATATAGCTAAACCAAAACATATATGTATATATATAACTATATATATATACAAAAAACAAAACGTGTATGTGTGTATATAATTGAGTTTAAAGTACTAACACACATAATATAAAATCTAAACTAAATTACCCAAGCTTGATGATCTTCAACGAAGCTCTAAATAAATAAGAAAACACAAATACTAGACAAACAACATTAGTTGTAAATTGTTTGTTAAACATCATCAAAACAAAGAGGCCAACAATCTCCCCCTTTTTGATGATGACAAACAATCTACACAAAGAGTATATAAGTTATACAATAAAGCATAATACTCTTAAAATATACTCACAAACCACTTGTTTCTCCCCCTTTGGCAACATCAAAAATGGGGAAACAAAATAGTAAGAGAGCGAAAGCTCCCCCTATCATAAAGCATAGGTGAGTATAACACATAGAAGGATATAGGGATTGCTCCCCCTATCAAAATGCCATATGGAATATATGCAATAAAGATCAATGCAAATATATGTGAGCAAGCATAGATAAAAAAATATGCTAAACATCACTCACATACAAAAATACAATGAGGACACACATATATAAATATGTCAATATGAAAATAGTGTCTCATTAACAAAAATATAAAGATAAAAAATAGATTTATGAAATCAAAAGAAGAGAAACATGAGAATCATGCAAAAAGTTTTCAAATGAAAACAAATCAACCAAAAGAAATCATAAATCAAAGTTTAAATCCAAAAACGTAGAATCAAATCATCATTGATTTAAAAATCAAGAGAGGCAACTATATCTAGCTCTTGAGCTAGTATCAACCCATATAAACAATTTAACATCCGGTAAACATGATTTGGGAATAAACACCCAATAAACCCGGGGGTTATTTAAACACAAACCTCTCATCAAAATCAAGACTAATAATTATGAAAAACAAAAAAAAATTAACCAATAAAAAGATTTGTTTTCATAAAAGATATAAAATACATTTTTCAAAACCAAGAAAAAAAAAACTAAAAACACTAAAGTTCTTGGTAAAAAAATTCATTTTGGCACCCAAGCATTCTTGGTGCCGGATTATTTAGGGACATGACCCCTATCAATAAAGCTCAAACACCTAGGGTTATGAACCCTTTTGGACATATATGGTGCACGGGATCGGTCATAGCAATAATTACTCAAATGACCCTTCCGATTGTAATATGTACAATGAAAAGGAAGCATTTGCTTATGTTGACCATTAAAAGGTGCACGTGGAACATTTACAAATAAAGATTGTCTTTTAGAATTATTTTACAAATGAGAAACATCATTAAACAAAGGTGGTCTACTTGAGAAATTTGGCAAGTTTGAATAATTTTTTAAATCATAACAAAACTTTGCCAAATGGCCAAATCTATCACAAATATCACACTTAAACATATGTGGTCTATGAAAAACATTTGGCAAACTAGAATTCTTTTCCATGTCAAAGCAAAACTTTGCCAAATGGCCAAACCGACCACATAGATCACATTTATACACATTAGCATGCTTATGATGATAAATAGATGCATGTGCATGTGTGTGTGATAAAGAAGCCTTATGAGATGCACAAGAAGCATTAATCTTAGAAGATTTGTGTGCATCATAGCAAAATTTAGCAATGTGGCCTTTACGACCGCAAATTGAGCATTTGTAAACTTTGCTATACATATGTGCATAGTGAGTGCTTGGTTTTGAAGAGTTAGCACGAGACTTTGCACATAAGTCCATAAGTTTCTTGTTATTAACAATGCATGTGTTAAGAGTTGAATCTAAAGATGAAATGCGATTTTTAATATTGTTCAACTCATCATTAGGCATAGAAGCATTGTCAATAGAAGTAGAGCAAATATGATCATTTTTAAATGATGTAAATTTACTTCTAATAGTCTCTACTTCTAGCATGGCATTTTCTTTTTCATGAGTTAAAATAGCAAAGTTTGAAAGCAATGAATCATGATCCGATTTTAATTTATCATTCTTTTCTTTGAGGATCACATTCTCATTAGAAACATTATCAAACTTAGAAATCAACAACTCATGATCGGATTTCAAATTAACATGCTTGTTTTTTTAATCAACAAAATCATTTTGTAATTTCTTGTAGGCATGCGTTAACCTATCATATGCACATGCAAGTTCGCTAATGGATAATTTATTTTCGGAATCCGAATTGCATACCTCGCTAGGGCTATCGCCTAGCGGCCGAGTGCATAATGATGATTCTCCAAGCCTACTTGAAGAAGAATCCTCCAAATTACGTCGGATTTCCTCCAAGTTGCCTTGATGTGCTTCTATAAATTTCCATAAATTGTAAGCACTATCAAAATGAACAAATTTGTTAGAAAAGGATGAGTCAAAAGCATTAAGCAAAAATTCCAACAAAAGCTTGTTCATTATAAACATTCTATGATCATTGTTACACCACTTGGATTTCTCCGTAGTGGGTACAATATAAGCTTCATCTATAATATCCCATAAATCAAAATGTCTAGATCTAACAAATATATTAAATCTAGAACACCATTGGTCATAGGGGAAATCGTCTATTCTAGGAGCAACATTAGGATCATAGCCTAAACAAGGTGCACAATGCATGTCCATAATTTTAATTATGTGCAAGCAAGATAACAATAAATCTCAAAACTAGATTAGCACAAAAGATAACTTGGATCTTTAACTCAAAGCGATTAGTCCTTAAATCAAAGAGCATCAAGCTCTGATACCAATTGAAAGTACTCTAATGCCGCTAGGAAGGAACCCTAGAGGGGGGTGAATAGGGTTTATGCTAATCTAATTCGTTTTATGCCAATTAAAAACTAATTAACAAATATCCTAGCAAGTATGATATATGACAAGATATATATGCAAGGATATACAACTAATACAAGGGTGAAACAATATAGTGGACAATATAAACAAGCAATTGACGAAGGCGATATAAACAATAAGCACGAATATAAATGAAGGGGTTTTCTAACATTTTCAAAGTTCTAGGGATTTACACAGTAATCATCCAAACTTGAAGGGGTTTTCTGTTATTAATCATCTCTTTAAGCATAAAGACAAAAAAAAATCTCTCGCTGCAAACTCTCATTCTTTCTCATTCCAAGGGTTTTGCAATCTCCAACCCCATATTCCCTACTTTCAATTTCTCTCCAAACTTTTCGAGATCATTCAATATCAATCTGCACTAAAAAACCCCTAAAATTCATTCCTCCTGGAACTCCGACAATCATCAATGGCGACCTTGAATTCTTTTCTAATGAACCCCATTTCACGATCAACCCATCTCCATCGCCAATTCGAGCTAACCAAAGCTACAAACTTCTCAAAGATCTCATCTTGTTTGGTTTCAGAGAAATCCCAAGAGAAAACCCTGACCCCTTCCAATTCAAAGAAAGCGAAGGAGATTATGGAGATGGAAGCTAAGTACTTAGTTGGGACTTACGCTAGGGCTCCAATAGCCCTTGAGAGGGGAAAGGGATGCAAGCTCTACGACGTCGACGGGAGAGAGTATTTGGATATGACGGCGGGGATCGCGGTGAATTCGTTAGGGCATTGTGATGGAGATTTGGTGGAGGTGTTGGTTGATCAGGGGAATTCTCTTTGGCATGTTAGCAATGTTTATTACTCGCTGCCGCAGGTGAGGTTCCATGGGCTATCTATTGATTGCATACCACGTGTTTGATGAAATGCTATAATATTTTCAATGTTGATGTTTCGAGCTAAGGAGCATGTAAAGGGACCTAGGAGAACTCACCTATAAAAGCTAATTGTTAGAGGAAGGGACCCCAAGTCTCTTAAAAACCCACAGTTGATTCCTCATTTAATCAATGTTGGGACCAAATGGATTCTAACAGAATATGACCCCATCATCTAGTTTGTGGACATTCTTGCTTGTAGGAGGCAAACCTGTTATAATTGCAATTAGATTTGAGTATAATTGAAAGGTGATGAGTGTGGTGTTATTTTAATTAAGTTACAAGCTTTACTGTTCTTGAGCTCTAAATCAATCTGATTGGTTGGTCAATGGTCGGTGATCCACCTTTTGCATGCACTATACATGTTTGATAAATGGTTCTTCTAACCGTAAGGGTGGTGTTTCTATCATTATTTTGTGTGTTTTAGCGTAAATTGCACGAGTACGGGTGCGGGTATGAGTACGGGACACGACAAATTTGTAAAAGGTAGGGTATGGGGACACAACTGGAACTCATGGGATATAATCATAGTGCTGAGCTATATTAGTAAATGACCATTTTAAACCGTAGTTCTTAGGGCTTAAACGAACTTGAAACTTGTTCAACGAGTTACAAAAAACGGATGTGAAGTGTAGGATATATATCCAAGAAGTGTATGATGAGTGTTTTAAATAAAACATGCATTGTATAATTGAGTACTGGTTTGAATAAATACACGCATATGTTTAAAGGAGTGTCCAAGAAGTGTGGGGTTGGATACGACATGTGTCGGGTACATGCACAGCCCCATATTAGAAGTACCCAAATAACATAGGTTTTAACATTCTGCTTGATCAGTATATGGCATTCATCGGGTGATAAAATTACTTATTCTTGCATAAACTGTGGCATTTCTTCTAGTTTTCTGTCATGCATTTCCTGTTAGTCACCGGGGAGGATCTATGGAGTGAAGCGTTCACATTATATTACTCTTTTTTAAACCTCTGTTCTGAGCCATGCTCCCTGGTCATAGTTATATTATATGTCATCTATTGAAGAAGAGACTGTAGGACCATTGGAGATAATAGATGAGTTCTCTGTTCCCTTTTTACTCAATCTCTTTTGTGAACTCAGGTTTCAAACTTGTTTATAAGACATTTTGTTTGACACACAAAAGGGTATATGAAGCAATTTCAAGTAGCCATAATCAAATCAAGACAGGTGACTTGTTTGATGAACTAATGTAAATAATTTTTGACTTGGTGCATGCATTAAAAGATATTTCTCTTACAAATGATTCTTTAACTGAAAAAACTGTATGAGTTACTAATATGTCATTACCGTATTCTCTTGCATCAGAAGAGTTTGGATCTGTTCTCTAACCGGATGTGGTACCAAAAAGTTTCAGGGTCATGTAAAATTTTTCCATGACGGTATACACCTATGTCTTCTCTGAATTATTGGCCATTGGCCATGATTTAATCACTTAGAGATTGTTTTGACCTATTAGATAAGCTTCCTTAACAACAAGGATGAAGATTTGATAACCAGTCTACTATTTTGAAGGGACTAGCAGACATTTGGAAGAACTAGGTTTTTCTCTTACTTGTTATATCTTTGCTTTTGATACGATTGTATGCTTTGGTATGCCTTTTTACTAAAGGTGGATTTAATGAATATAATTAGGAGTCAGTCCTTTATCCTCCTGAAAATTGCACGCCTTTCATGACAAATTATTTTCCTTTCGCTTTTGGAAGAGTTTTTATTATAGAGTGAACGGAGTTCTTTGCGTTTGTTGAATGTTTTGCTTTTACAAAGTTAATAAGTTATATACTTGACCTGCTTTTCACTTTGAAGTGGACATCATGGGCAAATATTAACTGTGCGAGACCTGTTTATTCTCCTCAATACTTGTAACTTCAGCATAAGAAATTTTTTCCTTATTTCCAGTTATCTTATTGTTTAAGCATATATGCCGTATTTATTGCAGGTGGAACTTGCAAAACGGCTTGTAGATTGCTCTTTTGCAGACCGTGTTTTCTTTACAAACTCGGGAACAGAAGCAAATGAGGCAGCTATAAAATTTGCTAGGAAGTATCAGAGACACATAACTGATGTTGGAAAAGAACCTCCTAGAGAATTCATTTCCTTCAGTAACAGCTTCCATGGAAGGACAATGGGTGCTGTTGCTCTAACAAGTAAAGAACACTACAGGATACCCTTTGAACCCGTCATGCCTGGAGTTAGATTTTTAGAATATGGTAACATTGAAGAAGCCAAGAAGGCAGTAGTGTCGGGCAAGATTGCAGCAGTTTTTGTGGAACCTATCCAGGGTGAAGGCGGGATATATAGCGCAACAAAAGAATTCTTGCAAGCACTCCGTACTGCTTGTGATGATGCTGGAGCTCTCTTGATCTTTGATGAGGTACACTACATCAACTTCAAGGTTCCTTTGATCAGGAAATGGGTTTTCCCCCCTTCATTTATTTCAGTTATATGCTTAAGCTGTAGCTATTAGAGCGTTGCTTTGCTTATACTTGGCATGAGCATAACTTTGGTCATAGTTTGCAACTTTACCATTGATATTCGAGTTTGGAGCTGCTCGTGCCCTTTTTTATCCAGTCTAACCTTCTATGTTTATTCTTTCTTTCTAGTTTATTATGTCTCTGTGGCAAATGAAGGTCTATTATAGTTGTTTTAATCTTGAAGTTATATTCAGTGTAGTCATATATTTGTTTGCTTAGTTTCTCTATCATAACTGATATAAATAAGTTCTAGAAACCTTATTCTAATGTCATTAACGCTGCACAAGTACAATGAGAGTGGAGATAGTACCTCTTACCAAACACTTACAATACTATGCCTTAGCTCCAAGGTATAATCACTATACTTGGGAACAAAATTACATTTGTATACCCTTCTAAAATAAGCTTGGGGCTTATATTCCCATTCGAACGGTGAAACTAGCCTCTTTTTTAATGGAAAATGAGGTCCCAGTTTGCTCTCCTTCAAACAATGCATACTTTTTACTAGCTCTTCTAGCCAAATGAAGCCCAAGATTTTTGGTTTGTGGGCCTCCAGTGATATATAATATGCTATCATGCTTTTCTATGATTTTGTCATTGTAAATGCTTTATCCGTTAATCCTTTTACTTTCCACTTCTCGATTTAACTCCATTCTCTTGACTTTTGTGTTTGCGTGTTATTGAATCTCCAGGTTCAGTGTGGATTAGGACGAACTGGTCATCTCTGGGCCCACGAGGCCTATGGCATAGCACCAGATATAATGACACTCGCCAAACCACTTGCTGGAGGCTTACCAATCGGTGCATGCCTCACGACCGAAAAGGTTGCCGAAGCCATAAACTATGGAGATCATGGAAGCACTTTTGCGGGCAGTCCTCTTATTTGCAAAGTAGCCCTCAAAGTTCTCGATAAGATCCAAGACCCCATGTTTCTTGCCAATGTAGCAAGAAAAGGGCTTCACTTGAAAGAATTACTTAGCGAGAGGTTGGGAGGGAATCGACATGTGAAGGAAATACGCGGGCTCGGGCTTATTGTAGGGATCGAGCTCGATGTTCCTGCTTCTTCGTTAGTCGATGCTTGTAGAGACTATGGACTTTTGGTTCTGACTGCTGGGAAAGGGAATGTGGTTAGGTTGGTTCCTCCATTGATAATATCGGAGGACGAGCTCGAATATGCTACCGAGGTGATTAAGAAATGCTTGCCTTCACTTGATGCTGAGAATAAAAATTAAGTGTGCTGAATCCCCTTGTTTATATATCAGATCTGATTGGAAATTAATTTTTCTAGATTTGTAGATTAAACTTTTATGTTGTAGGACAAATAAAATGATGTATTATGAAATATTTTCAATTCGTTTCGTTAGGGGACTTTTCGTGCTAACTGTTTGTGGGGTAGCAATTAGTCATGTTGTTGAAGGAGGGCAGGGCGCATGGTTGTTCAATATGAATTTGGAGATGCAATTTGGATGAATAATCTTACGACATGCAAGCTAACAACTTTTCACCTCGATCTCAATGCACAAATCTTTTGTATGAGTTGTGTATAAATTTATCAGTATGTACGTTTGAGCCTTGACATCCTCTATGGGACAAAATGATCAAAATCTATTTTAAAATATTGGCGAACTCTCAATTTTCCTCCTAAAGTACTGATTTACCTGTTTTCACTCTTAAACTCTGTGTATGTGTCTAACATGGTTATTTTCTTAGCTCACGATCAAACATTTACAGATTGATAATGTCACAGTTTTTATGCATTTTTTGGATTTTCTGCAACTTAAAATATAAATTTTCATTTTGAAAAAAGGATAAAGGATCAACACTTTTCGAGGAGAGTTGTTGGGAATTTTTCTTTAGTTTAGGGTGAATGAGACAAACTGATAAAAATTCATGAAGGAATGCAATAATATACTGTCATTTCATTTATTTGTTAACTATTTGATTACAGGCTCTCAAAATGACCAGATTGAACATGTACACATAGTGTGAGAAAAAAAACATAAGCAATTTGATAATTTACAGAGGAAATTGTGAAGGCGCTAATTTTTTAAAGGATGAATTGTTTACTGTAGACTTGTTTATTATGGAGAAGGAGAGCACCCATGCGGTTGTGTTTTATCAGTTAAGCTATTGTTCCTGAAAGATTATTCACCTGTTCAAAAAAACCACAACAGATTGTTGTTACCGATGCATGCATGCGCCATAATTTTCGTGATTTCCTGTTGCACATTAGGGATCTCGCATTAGCTTCGTTTAGATTTTCTCATCTCATAAACTGCAAGGTTTTCATCAAGTGGTGAGAGGATAGAAACTGCTCAGATTCTAAGCGTCTCCAATATTTGAGCATGGATTCAAACAAATTTCATGAATCCTAGTGAATGAAATAATACCCACAGAAGGGAACCAAATCTTGATAATTTCGCTTCGACTAACCTGACCGATTGTTCTGTGAACACAACGTTCACGCAATAATTTCGCTTCTACCGAAACCTGAAAAATAGGCACGAGTTCATGGACCATCCGAGTCCATAGAAATCAGCAGCTAAATCATGATAAAACACAGAATAACACACTTCAACCAAATTAACATTATTAGATAAATAAATAGAAACATTATACTGATATTACTGTTAAGCTTAACATAACCATCGTAACGAACATATTCGCCTGTAAGTAATCTGCAACTACAGACTGATTATTCTATTTAGAGCTCTCGTGCAGACTTGTCGCGAACTTCTCATCCCTCTTCAAAAATGGTCAATGGTCATTAGTTAGGCAAGCCGCAGAGAATTATCAGGACAGCTTCGTGCTAGTTACTGTTTCTGGACTGAACATAAAATAACCGCACATAATTAGAAAACAAATTTCTTAGGAGATCAAGTGGATGTAGATAATAGCGCATAACTTACTATAAGATTGGCTATAATAACGTAGAGTACTTGTACACAAGCAACCACCTTATGCATCAATTTCTTCAGGTATTTTAGCCTTCCCTAAATAAACCAGTTCCATCTCCTCTCTCCAAATCTGCAGGTATAAAATATAGAGAAATATCCATAATCCTTTAGTTTTACATACTAGAAATCAAAGAAGGAAAAGAAGGAAAAGAAGGAAAACAAAACGCACCGTATCACGGAACTCAAGTCGAATATGAGGCACATTCGTTTTGTGAATATCATTTCCGTCGGGTCCTCTTTTGTAGTACATTTTCCCAACCCAATGAGACTACAATAAATAAAACTCCAATCAGATTAAGAAATGGGAAAAGCAGCTAAAGATGGATACTTGCATACCAAAAGATGAAAGTGGACAATCAATATGTTTATTGACTGGTGTCAAAGTTACAGAACCATACATTTGGGCATGCTCTATCCAACAGTGAATTGTTAGATGTCTGTCGTTTGATTTGGTTAGTGTAGGCCACTTAATGCGCCAGTTAGGAGAGATGATAAGATTACAGCAAATAGAGCAAAAAGGAATAGAAGAGAGACCTTAAATAAAAACTTGGCTGGAAACAATAGTTAAATGGAGAAGATGACCCATAATATAGCAAGATGGAAGAATAGGTAGGATATGTAGAGACTCCAAAACTTCGGGACAAGGCCTGATTGTTGCTGTTGCGTTAAAAGTGGGTTTTTATTGCATCACAATGTAGAAGCTAAATGGTTTAATCTATCATCTCACTAATTAGAACTTTTTTCCTGCTTTGCTTCATACAAGAGTTCTGAAATTTTAAAATACCTGCATTCAAACTGAGCCTAAAATCTAAAGCATTGAAACTTTTGCACACCTTGAGAGCATGTGAAAAGCCAGATTGGTAAACTGAATTCCTAGCAATTTCACATAAATCGCATGCACTAAGCTTCCACACCTGTTAAAAAAAAGAATTGCTTTAGCATCTGATAAGTAGTCATACAGTAGAGAAGGCGGTGAGAAGGAGCTTACTGAAGCTGCAATGCTGTATTCCTCCACCAACGGTTCTTTTGTTAAATGGATTTGCAAGGGGTCATCAGATGACAGAGAAACATTAAGACCTCGAGAGAAAAACACCGGAAGAGGGTTTCGATGGTAATCCAGAAATAAGGAATTGTTGCTCAAAGGAGACATTGCAAGACCAATCTGGGTAACAGAATAGGCAACAATGTAAGTCACCATCCTAAGAAAAATAGAAGTAAAGCATGTCGAACTACAATGATACGCCACCCAACACCCCCCTCTTCTTCCTCCAATACCCAGAAATCAACATACAGAACATCAGAAAAAATTCTAAGTGAGAGCAGAGGAAGAAAATTTATTGCATGAAGACCAATTAAGATAGAATACTAGCTAGTGACGCAACAAATACCTGAGACAAATAGTACAAGTACTGCAATACAGGGGATTTTCTCAGGTTGATTCCATGAGCAATGTTGTGAGTAAGAAGAAATGCTGCAGCAAGGTGATCTATATCACCAGCCTGCCAGTAAAAAGACCATAAGAAAAACACTGCATATTGGATTAGAAAAAAGAAAAAGAAAATGATGATTCATTTAGTACCTCCCCACAATGAGGGCGAAGTTTGATAGTTCTCATTCCCTTCGATTCCCGGAGCTAAAACATTTCCAATAGACAATTGATTAATTACCATCTTAGTGTCAAACAGTTTTAAACCATGACAAATCATGCATTAAAAGTTTAAAGTGCAGGTAAGCTGAGATTGAATAGCTCTGGGTGTTCAAAAAAGTGCTCATAAACTCATACACGGACGGAGATAAAAGAGAGAACCTTGTTGAGTGTGTAGAGGTTTGCATAGCAATAGTATGTATAATATGAAAATGCAGGATTAAACATGTTGGTCCACTGAGCCGGTGTAGGCATGTGCTTTGTAGGACGCCTTTCAGGTTTGCTTTCATCATCCACCAAATCCAAACCAACTACCTAAAGCAAAAGAAGCACAAGCATCGGTCACCGCCAAAAAGATTACATCATTATATCAAATAGTATAGCATACAACTCCATGTACTGGAGATCATACCAATATTTATTGCACACTAGTAAGGAACTGCTCTTAAATTCTTTATGCATGTGAGGAAAAGATACTTCTCCGCAAAGTATATGGAACCTTTCTCATTCAAACTTGAAGTAAAGAGTTGTAATATGATCAGGTTCCGCATCAGTAATGGAAATAAAAGAAAATTTGCCACTACGAAGATCTTTAAAATCATCACTTATTAATTCAATTCACCCAACATTTAAAATAACAAGTTCCTCATAAAATACAAAAAATTGTACCAATAATAAAATTAACTCAGCAGTATTCTACAGTAGTAAAATTAAGGGCGAATCTCTAAGATGCCTGCATAAACTGTACAAGTGTATAAAGAAGTGGAATAAAATAGTAACCAAACGGACCTGTTTTAAGAAGACGTGCAATTGAGGATGTGAATCTGGGTCAACAGTGACCTCAAATAGGGGAAGAAAAATATTATCAAGAATGTTTTGAAACGACGTGACTATCCCCATTTCCCTGTATATATTATACAGTCGTGGAATCTGCAAAAAGGAGGAAAAAAAAGATGGCAGTGTTATGTAGCTTTTGTTAAGTTAAAACTTAAACGATACACTTATTGCATCACCACAGGTATCAAAGGGATCAACATGAAGAGCTTCATATTTCATTAGTATGTCATCTGAATGTTTCTTACTATACAATAAGTTTACCTGAATTAAAGCTAAACATCCTGGAACCACTATATGACAAAACTTAAAGAGTTATAACTGTTACCTGAATCAACCAAACAACATTGTCACTGTATAACTCATTATTCACAATCCAACTAGCTAACTGATCCCATTCGCTCTGTTTCCTACCATAAATTGATATCCTATACTCTGCCATCTGCAAGAAGAAATATAAGCAGGACATCAAACAATGAAATATTTTGTAACTAAATGCCAAAGGATTACGTGAAAATTTTTAAATAAAACATGGTACAACATTAACTAAAAACACTAGGATACTGGGATAATTGACCTCCAAGAAACTACAAAGGGAAGAAAGCATTTCAAGAAAAGATTTGGAAAATTTTATCCAAGAGTCTAATCTTGATATAGAAAGCTCTCAACAAGTGATTCAGCTCAAGTTCTTTCATAATTCGAATTTCATTAATACCTGTAATGTTAAAAATCTTATTCCAAATCGATTTAAACTTCTATTATGAACATTTGTTGTATGCATTGCTAAATCAAACAACTGTGAATTCATAAATAGAAAAACTACACAAAGTATTTCATAACTTGGAGGATAAAATAAAATAAGGAGTAATGGCAGCTGGCAGAGAGACACGGATAAAAACAAAGCTGATAAGCATACTGCTAAGGACATACTGATAAGTCAAATATGAAGGGTGTCAATATAGCACGTAAAGGTCTATTTAGGCTGCAAATAGTGGAAGATCCTATGCATGTTGGTAGTTATTTTCTGACCTATAGTTGGTTTAAACCAAGTGAAGAACGATTGACATCTTCTTAGCCAACAAATAGTGAAAGATCATACGAATATTTAATAATCATATTGTTGCTCCATAATTGTAGGTTTAGACCAAATCAGTCAGGGACCACCATTTCCCACGGATGATTAAGCTATACACATACGAAGGGGAGATCATTGGGAATCATGTATGAGCATAGTTTCTCATTGGAATAAAGATCGTTGAAATTAAATGGAAAGTTAGGGTTAAGGCCTAGCTTTTGGGTTAATTTGGTTCTGGACCTTTGTTTTGAGGCTCATAAGTCCCAGAGGGGCTCAATTTCTCCCACAAAAACGTATGCAAACCTTTTCAGTTAATTTGATTCTGGACCTCTGTTTCAAGCTTCAGATTCTTGGGTTCAGTTGGAATTAGGTTCCTCTTAAAAACATCCAAAGAAGATACTGACAAATATCAGAACACTAATCTGCTATCACTTCCATGAGACAGCAAGTAAAATCAACTAGTACTTTTTTTAATAACCTCTTGTAGCTCATTTACTTTTATTACGATAAATAAGGGATGAGTGACACCAAGATGAAATACACATATCCCAAACTAGGGCTGTCCAAAAAGCCCGCCGGCACCGAGGCCCGCCCTGGCTGGAACCCGGCCCCAGGCCATGGCGCCCGGCTGGAACCCGCCCAGGCTGGCCGCGGTCCGGTCGTCGGCGCCGCGCCCGGCCCGGCCCGGCCTGGTCGTCGCCGCACCGGCCCGGGCACTGGCCCGGAAATAGTAAAGTTTTTCTTATATATATATAGATACTATATATACTCTCTCCATAGTATATAATTATATATCTAAGTTATACTCTCTCTTACATATGCTATAAGTCAATATGTTATGAGTATATATAAGTATACTCTCTCTATATAAGTATATGATATGTATATAGTCATGCTCTCTTAATATATGTGTAATGTATATATAAGTATACAGGTGTATAGTCTCTCTAATATAAAGTTATATTAGTATACTCTCTCTTATATATGCTTTTATATATTATATAATATATATATATATATATATATATATTACTATATATATATATATATATATATATAATATATATTATATATATATATATATATATATATATATATATTATATATATATATATATATATATATATATATATATATATTATACTCTCTCTCTTAGTATATAAGTATACTCTCTCTTGTATATGTATAATATATGTATAAGTATACAGTGTATACTCTCTTATTTATGTATATATCTCTTATATAATTATATATATGTATAAGTATACTCTCTCTTATATATGTATAATATATGTGTATATATATATAGTATAAATATAAAGAAAACCGGGCCAGCCCGGAGCCCGGCCTGTTTGGGCCCGGGCCCGGACTCCGGTTTTGCCCGGCCCGGGCCCGGTTTTTCGGGCCGGGCCGGATGGACAGCCCTATCTCAAACTCTGAACTGTTGCATGAATCATTGAAGCTACTTTATAGTTACTCCAGAAGGTTTGTGAGTTGATCTGGAGACTAAAAATTGAATGGCCCAAGATAGATTATATAGTTCTTCTTGACATTGTTAACTATATCATGGGTTTGGAAGAGACAATGAAGATTACGAGTCAATAATGTGAAAACCCTGGGCAGTTAAGTAATTGTACCCAAAATAGATAGAGCCAGCTTTTTAAAGATACAACAGCAAATGTGCCTACTAAAATGTTTCGATTATATGCTAATGAGAAAAGCCAATAGAACAAAAATGGTCATTTGCCAGAAATTTTCAAGAAAAGAGGAAAGAATGAAACAGATGTGAAGGATTTCACCTGATATTTACTTGCAGCAAGGTCAGAAAATACTTCTTTTGTAAGTTCAGCAAGGAAACGACCTGGTGGAGATAAACCATAGGAAAGAAGTTAATATACAGTTCAGCAGTGGTCCATTCTAAATGGGTTGCTATAAGGGAAAAACACCAAGCGTAGAGCCATATACAACAAGAAAATGAAATAAGCCAAACTCGAACAAAAATCTTTCCTATGAGAATGAATAACTTCAAATCTCACGTTACAGATGCTATAGCAGCAATTAAAACCTAGATACGATTCGTATGAAATGTGGTGAACTCAAGTATGTTTATACATGAAATCAGATGTGACAAAATAAATAGGGTCTCATTTATGAGTAACTTGAAATATCTAATACTGCAGATGCCATAGCAATAATACAAAAACTAGATGACAATCCTTATCAAACTTGGTCAAATATGTTCCCAAATGAAATTAGTTGTAAATAATTAAATAGAGCCACATTTTCCAAGAATATTTCTTACTGAAAATTTTAAAACTTGCTGGCATAGCATGCTTCTGAGATATCCCAAGTATTGAAGGGTCAATTGACAGTCATTTACATGGCTGAGCCCTTGTATTCAAATTAATTTGCATCAAAGAGAGAAGAAGAAAATGAACAGGAAAAGAAACAGAGTAATGGTTGGCAAATATAAAACATGAAGGAAAGCAGGTTTATTTCCTTTCTCTTTATAGAGTTTAGAGCCTCCTTACTATTGTTATTGGAGTGCCATAATGGAACAATGTAATTGACTGCTGCATTTACAAGGCTTCTCAGGCAGACCAGAAATTGAAATACCACTGGAATATAATCAACCTATCACTCTGCCAGGTTTATTTCCTTTAGATAGTTTAAAGCCAAGTGGATTCTATTCATTTTCATTCATAAACAACAAAGCTTTGACAAACAATGATTACAAGAATTAGAATCTGATCAGATGTCTAAATCTTACATTGCAGATTATGGAAAGGAGGCCAAGTCTAGGTTGGCATTTTATTCATCTGATCCAAAGGATGCCATTTATTGTCATGAATCATCAACATTGTTTGAACTTCAGTTGTCCAACGAAAAAAAGGATAAAAGGAAAAGAAAGAAAAAGACAAAATAAGGAAGAAGCAAAAGAACGAAGAAAAACTATGAAGAGGTAACAGCTAGAGGACCGGGAACTGATAATGAGCGTTGGAAATTGGAAGTCCAGACCGTGATGCAAATTATCCCTAATAGTATGTTCTTAGAGTTGTAGGAAACAAAAGTAATAAAGATACTTGGCAAATTGCAAATTCAATTTTTGCAACATTAAGTAAAAGTCATACTGCAGGCTAAAGTCACTATACCTATGGTTGAATAGAAAGAGAAGCATTAAAGTGTGACTCGGTTAATATCTTTCATAAGTATTTTTGTTCAATGGCAGCTGCAACTTGCAAGACGTAGACAGTAGATTAATAGAATGGTGTTAGGACATCATTGAGAATGGATCCACTCCTACTCTCAACATACCACTCCTACCCGTAATACACCAAACAGTGACCGCATATGTTGCCGAAGAGTGCGTGGTGAGAATTGGACACGACTTCAAGGTCATGGAGTCTAAAGGCCACTCGCCACTCAAAAAGTTGAAAAGAACAGATGAGTGTGTGGTTCTAAGTCCCAAACATGCAACATGCATATATATCTTCATCTCTATGATCAGCAAAATGGTACCTTGAATAAGATTGTCTTGCTTTAGGAAAATCTCCCTTAGCCTACTCTGACCACAAGGGTTATACTTGAGATTGAACTTGTCAAATCGATGAAATGTGCTCTTGTCAGCATGAACATCCAAGAGATCAACATTTAGGTCGTATCTGTTAAAAAACAACATTTGGGTAAATATAATAACATGAATCGAAGAATAAAACATAGAAATGAAATTTGATGCCAATAATTAAAGAAGAATTCATTACCCAGTCAGATCTAAGCTCTCAAAGACCTCTTTTAAAGTCAAATAGGTCCCATCTCTAAATATGACAACCTATTCAGGAAACAAACACACATCATCATACACACAGTTCGTTAATACAAGTAAATGCAAACTTCCAGGAAAAGATCCTCTTTGCTACATGAAGCATAAACCCTAGCATAACTTAAAGCAAGAGAACCTCGTACCTCATCGGGTTCCTTTCTCAATTTTGACTTTATGAATCGTAAAAGATGTTTCTGATTCATGCATGCTGAGTGATGTACATGAGTATCAACCTTCCTGACGTTATAAAAATCACGATGTGGTGCAGTTTTCTGAGCAAGGAATTCTCTATCCGCATTGAGCATTAAGTGAAGACTGAATTTCTGGATGTGGTGCAGTTTTCTGAGCAAGGAATTCTCTATCCGCATTGAGCATTAAGTGAAGACTGAATTTCTGTAAGGAGACAGCCGTAAGGTTTATCCAAGTTAGTGTAACTTCAAAATTAAAAGACTTTCTACAAAATAATCATTATTAATTGTAGGATATTGAATTTAAAAAGAATCAAAATCTCATCCAGTATAATATTCTGGCATTGACAAACTAAGGTCATTACTTGCTCCAGAAGATTTAACCGATGGTGACATAAAGTTCGGATATTTCCTGCAGAAATTACTCGAAGAATATGATGAAAATCTGTGAAAAAGGTTGTAGCATCGACCACAGGGAAAATTCTTTCCATTGCTGTAGGCAGGGGGAAAAAATATCAAGAATGATTTTCCGTTAGAAAAAATAGGAGGGATATTAAGGAAGCAACAAGTACTACATAATGATACACACACCAATGATGTACTTACAATGTTGACTTGTATATACATGCACAACTCCGTCCACCATTTGAAAGAAATGCTAAAAAGTTGGACAGAAATTTGTTAATAAACTATTACGAAAGAAAGCATTTTATGTTAAATGATTGAAGGTGTGACAAAAGAAGAAATGAACGCACATCTGATTTCTGTTGAGTAGTATATGCAAAAGGGTTTGGATTTGGCTTTGGTGTACCAGGGTCCGTTATGACTTCCTTTTCCCAAGGAGCAATCTCTTCTTTGAACACATAACTCTGTCTCAATTCAAGGCATTCTTGAATAACTTTGTAGACC